TGGAATTTTTTAAAAGCCAGTTTACAGACCACAGTATCTGTTAATATTGATAATACCGAAACTAAAACTAATATGTGGTGCTTCAAGTTCACATTAAGATCCTTTAACTGACCTTAATTGATTTGGCATGAATCAGGCAGAGTTTTTAATCATGACACTCAGATATACTAATATGATTACTTTTTTTTTTTTTTTTACAGTACTTTGGTCTCTAATCGTATTTAGGACTGAGCTCTAAGTTTCAAGAAAATGAGACTGTGCTATAGGGTCTCTCCCCAAGCTTTGCCTTTCAATAATCATTTGCTTTTGGATAGTTTAGATTGTGATGTTGAATGTTAACATCTGAATATTTTAATCTTTTTCTTTCACTTAACTTTTCAACATCTTTCCACAGCTATATTAGGAAAGTTGGGTTGACCATTTAGCTCATGGGTGTGACCTTGGTGATTTCCTTGAAATAGGGTTGGAGGATTTAAAGTTACAGGTTTGGATTGCACTGTGGCTTTCTATGTGCAGTTCTCTTCACTTGTTGGATTAAGACAAAAAAAAAAAAAAAAAACCCAAACCGGTATGTGTGACCTACAGAAGGAACATTTATAGAAAAACTGTAAGTTTCCTGACCAGATCTTGGAGATAATTTTGCTGTTTAAAGGGTACAAATGAATTGGCCAGGGACCAGCAGTTTGTGTGGGTTAAATATTTTAATTATTTATTTATTTGGACGCTTAAGTGATTCGGAGGGAAAAAGATTTGTAGGAATACAGCAAATGACTTGGTCATAAATGGAATTTTTATGTGTTTTTGACAGTTTTTGAGGACTTTGAATTCCTTTTACTCCATGATAGGGTAATAAATATTCTGTATCAAAACATGTGAGCTAACCTGTCCAGCTGAAGTAGAGACTGTGCTGTCTCTAAAGGTTAACAAACAGCGTGAGTACATTTAGATGTAAAGAACTGTTCCCAAGTGACAGCAGTTGTCCGCAAGGTGGCATTTACTTCTAATTTGTTGTGCTTAAACATAAATTATTGTGTTTTTCATTAAGGATTGTATAATGTGTAATAGTTGATAATTTCAAAATCTAGTAGCAGAAGCCTTACTCACAAACGAGTATCTCCTTTTTTTTTTTTTTTTAAAGATTTTATTTATGTATTAGCACGAGAGGGAAGAGGGTCAGAGGGAGAAGCAGACTCCCTGCTGAGCAGGAAGCCGGATGTGGGACTCGATCCCGGGGCTCCAGGATCATGACCTGAGCTGAAGGCAGGCGCTTAACCAACTGAGCCACCCAGGCGCCCTCCAACAAGTATCTGCTTTAAAACAACAACAGTAACAGGAGACATGACCTAAAGAACATTAGACTTCTCTTTCAGGCCGTGATGGCAATATGGTTCCTACTTTCTTTTCAAAGATCATCTTGTAAATTTTTTTTTTTTTAAGTCTCCATTTAAGTGATCACGATACCAAGTCAGCCCTAGTATTCTTCCAGAATATGAGGTTACACTGGATATTGCCTCAGGTGCCTTGAGTAAAGGTTTAGGAGCATTTTTTTTAAATATTGAAAAACATTTTTGCCACCTGCCTTTCAGGAGGGTGTTCCGAAGGCTCACTTTTCTGCAAACTAAAAGCATTTAGATTGTAGGGGTTGGATTATGATCTCCCCCTCCTTCCTCCTCCAGGTCTTCGTGAAGACAGACAACTTCCTCTGCTCAGTGTCTTGTGCTGCTGCTGGCTTCTGCGTGCTCCCCCTGGAGACGCCGAAGGTTCGGGGAAGGCTGGGTGGGTGCTCGCCTCCCTCGCCTGCAGTGGTTGCTATTAACACTAATTAGATTAGAATGTCTATTTTTTTTTTTTTTGGTAAGTTTTGTTAGTATTAAAGTCTTTGTTATTGCAATCACTCTAAAAGATTTTAGATTTTGTTAGCAGATTGGTTTTAAGTGATGTAGATAATTGGTTTATAGGTTAAGGAAGTGTTTAGTCTGCATTCAGTTTCTAAGTCAGGGGTTGAAGGGGTTTGCTATCCGAGATTCCCAGCTTATCCATTTCTGTTCTGGTGGGTCTGTAAGGGGAGTAGTTTTAAATCCAAATGATAACAGTTTTGCTTGTGCTCAACTTCGTGGAGTGATTAAATATGATTCATTATTTTTTATTACACCCTTGAAACTGTGGAGAATGGTATAGCAGATGGCAGCCATAGGGAGCCGTGTAGAAGGTCTGATGAACCTTCGAGTTAATTTTAATATCAGATGAGTTATGGTTGGTGACTGTGGCCAGAGATGTGCAATATTGACTCTGTACCTGTGCTGACAATGTAGTGTTTGTTCATTTAGCCACTAGGTGTTTATTGAGGGCCTGCCCCTGTGCCAGAGACCCCTTCTAGACGGGAGGGGATAGCAGCGAACAAGGGTCTCTCCTCCTAGGATCTTACTTCAAAGGAATGGCCCAGGGTTTTCCTATCTTGAGTGAGTAGTAAGGATGGCTATGACCCAACGTAGTCTAGTGCTCAGGACAGCTGGGCACAGTTAATGACTATATCAGGATCTGTGCCAGAAGCTTCCGTTGAGGGAGAAGTGCTTCAGTTTTGCCTGGGAGGGTCTTCTTCCCCATCTGACCATACGAGGAGACTCGCTGGCCCAGGACCTCCTTCCCCTCGTCTCCAGGCCTCCATCCTTCAGCAAAACTGAAGCTCTTCTATGTTTGTTTGTTTGTTTTTTTTTTTGCACTGTACCTCCTTTACTAATCCTTCAGGTCTTATGTTAGAAGCTGATGATGACTTCCCTTGACCCACATATTTGAACATTTCAGAGATAAAAATTGAAACAACTATTTCTCAAAGTCAGGCATTTCCATTTATATGTCATCACCCTGGGTGGGAAATAAATAACAGGGATGTACCCACATCATGTTTCTTATTCAGAGACTGAGTTTATGATTGGTGTCTTTTTGGGAAAGATTATCTGTAGAAAACTGGAGTTCCCCCAAATTTAAAATATCATAGAGTAGTAAAATTTCTTTAAAAAAAGAAAAAAAAGCAGAAGATAATGTTGATGTCTGACATGGAGGACTAACTTTGATTTTGGCAAATTAGGGCATTAAAAAAAAAAAAAACTTTACTGCTCCCTAATGCCACTCTTTCATTTTTTAAGCTGTTTTGCAACCAAAAAATAGAAAGGGCCTCAAATAGAGGACAGCCTTTATTCAAATTGAAATTTATCTCTGTACTTGGTGGAGAACTCATTGAGCTGTTTCTGTTTTTCATATAGCTGTCAGCCGGTGAAAATGTGCTGGTCAACTTTGTGGTGTTTTCAAATACCATTTAATATCTTGATTTAAGATAGCATTAAAAATTCTTTTGAATAAGTCTATCCATAAATGTAGACCTACCCCCCAGAACCACAGAAATTTGGAACTCTTGAGGATGATCCTGTCATTTAGCCATCTCTATCAAGTAGATGAAGATGGGGTATGTGGTGGTGACAGCTTGAAGGTTGTGACTTAGCCAGAACTAGAACTCAGGTCACTGGGGTGTTCTGTTATTTCCCACCAAGCTGGTAGCCAGCTCCAGTGGTTTATCCTCCATTGTGATGACAACAAAAGACTCAGAAATTAAGATAAAGCACTTTAGTACGTTCTTTCTTTACCCTAATCTTTGATCTGCAGTCTTATTTAGAAAAGCTTGATGTTAAAGATCTGGTTTATTCAAAACTAAAGATAGCAAGGGGCATGAGAATTTTCTTTTATTATGAGTGTAAAGAAGGGGAAGAAATGTTTCCTTGTCTTCTCTGAGCCTAGAGGCCCTTGCTCTTTGAGGAAGTGGAGAGAAGAAAGTAAAGCTGAAGGTGGTGGGAGTAGTTTGCAAGTCTTTCTGTTTTGTTGGGGAGAATGAACAGACCTCAGTTAAAGTAGTTGAGACTATTGAAAACCAATTCTGTGCTTGCCAGAAAGGTGGGGAGTATTGGGTTTTTGGAGCTTAATTCTCCTTCAAGAGTGAAAATTAGCTTCCGAATCTGAGCCTGCAGAGCTAAATAAAGTAATAGTCCATTTTTCACCTGGCCAATGCATAATGTGAAAGGTGGGTTAAAAATGGGAGGACCCATTTTCTGATTGAAGACTGAGCCTTGTTGAACGGGTTGTGTGGAGGATTTTAAAGTGTATATTCACAAAGTAGCTTTGTGTATATGTATTTCCTTATTTATTGTGCAGACAAGGAAGCCCAACCCTGAGGCTTGTTGAAGCAGAAAGTTGTTACAAGCAAACTGGGATTTGGGCAGTGGGTTGAGGGTTAAAATATCCGTGAGCCAAAATGATGAAGGTTTCTCTTGGCCAAGATGAGCATCATTCTGAAGTGTTCTGTAGTTTTTGAATGTGGATTTTATGAAAGGTTCCTGTTTTTTGTGTGTGTATGTTATTGGCCAATGCATGTGTAAAGCTTTGAGGGTGCATTTAGGCATTTGTGTTTCTCGACTGTATATAAGACAGTTTGAAGTTCTGGCTTTTAAATTTTTACTTCAAGTGCTGTAATTGTCATTTTTTACAGTTGGTATAGTCTCTAGATTTGTAGAAGCTGTTTATAAGGATACACATGTGCATTGTAGTGTTGGCATTTAAAATATATTCCGTTGAATTGAACAGTTTCTGCCCTGAATCTTTACATTTTAGATTTAAATCATTAAAGGACCACGTGTTACGTTTCTTAACTGGATGAAAATCTAGTGATTTGATAAGTGTACTGATTGGATAAAATGCTAATGATTTAATTAACGAGCATGTTGAACAGGATGCCCTGTGCTAGTTAAGGGAGAAGCAGATGAGCTAGGCTACAGGCAGACCAGCTGTGAATCGTCCACGCCAGGCTTCTCCCTGGCTGCAGCTAACCATTTCTATATTTTGTTTTGTTTTTTTTCCCCTCTCTAGGTTTTGGAAATCCCTTGTCTCCAGGTTGCTGGGATTGACTTCTTGCTCAATTGAATCACTCACTCACTCAATGGAGACAAAGAGAATTAATGCTTTGTGCTGACTCATATTTGAATCAAAGCATTGGGGAGTCTGTCTGCCTTGTTTGTGGAAAGAACCAGTGAGAAGCTCTGTCACCGAGCTTCCTTCGACTTCAGAAGATAAGAAGCTCCAGGAATATATACTTTTCTTTTGAACTTTTATAACAAATATTTGTTCTAGTTTTAAGTGCAGGGCTGCTGGGGGTGTGAGTGACAAGTCTTACAAGTGGCCTTATCCCAATTCCAGAAATTCCTCCACCGGATTCTTATTTTATATACAATCCCAAAGTGCCAGGAAACATGCCAACTCAATCCCTGTTGGTGTATATGGATGGACCAGAAGTTATTGGCAATCCCCTTGGCACCCAGATGGAGCTAGATGATGCCGTGTCAATAAAAGGGACCACCGCTGTTCCTTTCAGAGCAACACAAGAGAAAAACATCATCCAAATAGAAGGATATATGCCCTTGGACTGCATGTTTTGCAATCAGACCTTCACACATTCAGAAGATCTTAATAAACATGTCCTAATGCAACATCGGCCTATTCTCTGTGAACCAGCAGTTTTGCGTGTTGAAGCGGAGTATCTTAGTCCTCTTGATAAAAGTCAAGTGAGAACAGAGCCTCCAAAGGACAAGAATTGCAAGGAAAATGAAGAATTTAGCTGTGAAGTATGTGGGCAGACATTCAGAGTGGCTTTCGACGTCGAGATCCACATGAAGAAACATAAGGACTCTTTCACCTATGGGTGTAACGTGTGCGGAAGAAGATTCAAGGAGCCCTGGTTTCTTAAAAATCACATGCGGACGCACACTGGCAAATCCGGGGCCAAGAGCAAACTGCAGCAAGGCTCGGAGAGCCCGGCAACAATCAACGAGGTGGTACAGGAGCATGCCGCTGAGAGCATCTCCTCTCCTTACAAAATCTGCATGGTTTGTGGCTTCCTCTTTCCTAATAAGGAAAGTCTCATCGATCACAGGAAGATGCACACCAAAGAATCTGCTTCCGGTGCCAGTAGTACACAAACAGACTCTCAGCAGGGGGGAATGCCATCTCCGGGGGAAGAGTTCTTGCAGTTTTTAAACTTGAGACCCACCTCTCACCCCGAAACCGGCAAGAAGCCCACAAAATGGATACCTCAGCTCGATCCATTCACCACCTACCAGGCTTGGCAGCTGGCTACCAAAGGAAAAGTCGCCGTGTGCCGAGAAGTGAAGGAACAGCCGGGCCAAGAAGGAAGTACCGACAATGATGATTCGTGTTCTGAAAAAGAGGAGCTTGTCGAAATTTGGAACGCTGGTAAGAGCCATTCCGAAGGTTCTGGAAAGTCCAAGACAAGTAAAAGCAGTTGTGCAGGCCTCGCACAAGATAAAGAGAAGCCCAGACCCTCCAGTGGTGAAGTGCCTTCCGTGGAAGCGGACCCAAAGTTGTCCAGCAACAAAGAGAAGCCGACGCATTGCTCGGAATGCGGCAAAGCCTTCCGCACCTACCACCAGCTGGTTCTGCACTCGCGAGTGCACAAGAAGGACCGGAGGGCCGATGCCGAGTCGCCAACCATGTCAGTTGACGGAAGGCAGCCTAGGACGTGTTCTCCAGACCTCACCGCCACCCTGGATGAGAATGGAGCCGTAGATCGCGAAGCTGGTTCTGAGGATGGATCTGAGGACGGACTTGCGGAAGGGCTCCAGTTGGGTAAGCCTCTCCTCCATGTGCGCTGTCCTTACTCCGTCCCCATCCCAGAAATGAGGGTTGGCGAGCTGGGGCAGAGGCCAGGCTCTTGTGGTGCCAACCTGTCGTAAGTCACTTCACCTCTCAGGGCCTTGGTTCTTCTCAAGGCTTTTTCCAGTTCTGAAAATTCTGTTGTTTTATCTTTTGCTCAGGGAGGACACACATCATCTTCACTTGCGCATCAGTCTGAGGCGGTGGTTCTGACCTGGGGCATTTTTGCCCCCTGTGGAATCTGGTAGTGTCTAGAGATATTTTGGGGTGTCAACAGCCGTGTTGGTGTGTGGCTGGCACCCAGTGCAGGGAGGCCAGGGATGCTGCTGAACATCCCACTTGCCGTGTGCAGGGCGGCCCCGCAGCTGGTGATTATGTGGCCCAGGGTCAGTGGTGTCAGGGTTGAGAGACCCTGGGCTTTGCTTCAGGGGTTCTGGCATACCTGAGCTTCTCTCTAAAAACAGGTTGTCCTTACATGCAACCGACTTCCCTGTCCTCCGAGACCCAGCTCTCATGCGCTTACTCTGGCTGGTGTTCTAGTCACAAAAGGTACTGGGAATGATTGTGGGCCAGAGCAAGGGTATCTTTAGAGAAACTGTTTGGTGCTACCTGGTACCCAGTCCTCTCTGGTGGGCGAGTATTCATTAACAGCTCAGAGACTAAGACCATTTCTGTGTAAAATAAAGGGAATGTGAACACACCAAAGATGGTTTAATGGAATCTCAAATGCTCAGATTTTTCTTGAACTAAGGGCTTCTTAGAGGAAACGGGGGGTCATCGCTGAAGGCTTAGGGACCTCTTATTTCTTGAAGCCCAATGGGCATTATCCAAGACAGGATCCCACCTGTGGTTCAGGTCTTGCCCATCTGTACTTAAACCAGAGCTGCTGCTTCTGTCTTTAATAATGTTTTGTTTGAGTAAGGGATTCTGCTGCTTGAAATTCGACAGTTAAAAGAACCCCTGGCATCTTCAACAACTGAATGGTGGGAACATGAATTAGTCTTAGAGGGACGTTATCATTCACAAAAGTAGTCTTTGGTTTAAGCAGATGCTGCTACCTTCTTTGACTGTAACTTGATGGTATGTGGCTGGCTTGTGAGAACTCGTGTGAGACCCAAGATGAGTTTGACCGGATGAAACACTGGATGCTTCACGCTCCAAACCAGTGTCAGGTTCTTTTTGCCATCACAAGATGGATTGAGAACAGTAGTGTTTATACTGAGGATTTAGGATGTTTTGAGTTTCAGGGGACACAGGAAACCTAGCACTTAGGATACCACAGTCTTCAGAAATCTAGAAAACACCATTATGGTGTCTTCATGACATCATAAAAAAGGCCTTGAACACAGAGACCTGTCTTCAGAGTGGTTCCTAGTAGTGTCATTCCTCTTCAGGGGCATGTAGTAATGGGGAGATGGTTGGGTCCTCGAGCTGCCCCGTTGCCCTGAAAGAAATGAGGTCGCTGGTCGCTTTCTGCCAGTAGGTGGTGTGGGCGAAAGAACCTGGTGGAAATCTTGGTTGTCAGGCGGATAGAATGCCTGGTGGTAGCTGGGAGCGCCATGACTTGCCTTTAGTCTGGTTCTGCCACTGCATTATTCTGTGGCTGATTACATGTTGCTTAACCTTTCTTCGCCCTGATTTCTCTGTTTGCAAAATTGGTTCATCGACCCTTGTCTTCCACCTCCCAAGGATAATTTCAACAGCCTCTTGATAAAAAGTTGGCAGTCCTTTCAGAAACTATAAATCAGAGGTGATGCCAAAGGAGCAGGAACCAGGTATATGTGGACATTTCACGTCCTTTGTGTTAAAACAGACCCATTTCATAACTTTTTGGATATGATGCAACACACCATAAATCCTGACACATACTTGGGAGTAGGAAATTGCAGTAAGGTCCAAACTCAGCTCATTGGGTATGACTGTAAGACAAAGCTGGGCCTTCTGTATTTAGAGAATTGATTTTCCTAAGTTTATATTATGATGTGGTGGTCTAGATTTATCTTCCTGTTATTTACTATTGACCTGGCTTTCTTGAGATTGACTTTTCGAAAGGCAAAGTAAATGTTTTGTTTTTGGGTTTGTTCAACTTTATAGTATGTTTAATAGTGGTTTTTCATGTGATTGTGTTTTTAAGTCTTCACGGCCAGTGGTGGCCTCTGCTGTTTTACGGCAGAGGTGCTCAGTGGTGCATACCTTTTCCCCAGGGGGTTGGGGGCCGGGGTCATGCGGTCCCCTCCTCTTGTCCTGGAGGCCGCCTGCGGCGGGGCCCGTAAGCTGCTTTTTAAAATCGTAAACTAGATCTATGTAATCTAAAATACAAAATTGGGAAGAAGCGGGGAAAAGAGGCCTTTTTAGTTGGAGTTAACAGTTTTCAAGGCAAAAGAGCCAGTTTAGTTGGGCTCAGTTTTAAGAGGTGACCCCACCTCCTTGACCTCACTGCAGTGTAGGGAGTACAGTCTTCAGTAAGAGGAGGTTTATCCAGAACTTTAGCGCTCATTTTTACGGGTGTTAAATTTTTTTTTTTTTTTTTTGGCAGGCAGCAGGGAGCGGGTATCTTAACTGTAGCAATGTACTCGTCTTTTGGAGAGCTGGTGTTTAGGTATAATCATCCTTTAATTAATGTCCGCAGTGGGCCTTTACTCTGTTGCAGCCCAGATACACTGTCCTGGTCGTTGCAGAGATTGAAGTATATGGTTTAGCCCATTGTCATTTGGGGACAGATTGATGTCAGCTGTATTTTTGGCCACGTGAGCGCTTGTGAATGATACAATTTGCTTTCCAGAATGTGCTGAATTTTGACAAACTATTTCTTAGGTGTTTGACCCAATGCTGAAACCTTTTATTTTCTTTAAAGATTAAGTGGTGCTTGCTACCCTCTAGTGGTAGCTGGCCCAATTTTAAGATACACTTCTTTTCCCTGGTGGTTGGGGAAGCTGGCAATTTCTATTGGCTCAGTTTTCTAAATCAGTTATTCTGAAGAAGCTGGTTATTCTAGCCCGTGTCTGTAGGTCCAGCTTCAGTCTGCCAGATCCTGCTTGTTGCAGACATGTTGGGAGAACAGAAAGTTGCCCATGCATGTCAGTCTGTTAAATGATCTTTCCTGTGATTGAGGCAAAGGAAGAACTGAATCCGGGACACCAAATTCTGCTGTACTCAGAAAACAAAAACAAAACCAAGAAACAGCACGCATGTTATAAAAAGCTTCCAAAACTTCAGACAGTCTCAAAATAGCATTTGGTGTGTTCCTGTCCTTTCTGGTGTACCCCAACACTTAATATAAAAATTATTTTATGCTTTCCAAAAAAAAAAAAAAAAAACAAAACCGTTTCCATCAAGAATTCTTAGCTTGTCTTAACTCGTGTACCTGAGCTGTCTTCTTACAGAAATATTTTTTGTTTCTGCTTAAGATAAAAATGATGATGGAGGAAAAATAAAGCATCTTACGTCCTCGAGAGAATGTAGTTATTGTGGGAAGTTTTTCCGTTCAAATTATTACCTCAATATTCATCTCAGAACGCATACAGGTAAGGAACTTCCTAGATTTTTAAAATTCTTGTTAGCTCAAAGAATTACAATGTAGCTTTGTGTCTTGACTTCTTTTATATTGTTGTTCAAATATTCTGTTAGGCCCTTGTAGTAGTTGAAGAGTAAGTGTGTGGTGTGTTGATGGAGCATTTTAGGTCTGTTAGTGTTCTTGTAACTTGAACTGTTCCTGTTTCAAAGTTTGTTTCTTGTTTAGTTTCTGACTACTGTTGCATCTTACTATGTTTTTTCATGCCACAGCTTTTTTTTGTATTAACTGTTATGATTTAGAAGGCAACAAGAATATATTTAGTATTTTCTTTAGATTGTAGAAGTGGCTGTGACCTAATAATGGTTTAGGAGGCTGGGTGGACTTGAACTGCCTCTCTCCTACTCAACTAGCTGTGCGTGCAACCTTGGGCAACTCATTATACCTTTCTGTGCCCCACTGTTCCTGTAAAAGCAGGATAATGATACTCTTCTGTTCCATAGAGCTATTATGAAGGTTAAATAAGTTTAAAATGTGCTATTTTTTTTTAAAGACATGTGTTCACATTTTCAAATATTCAGTATAGTAAGGGTGATAAAGCGAGCAACTTGTGAAAAATCCTGGATATGCAGATTCGTAGAGAGAAAAGGGAAAAGGAAAGACCCTGTATTTTCTCCTGGCAGATAATTTTAGCTTCCAAAGATCTATTTAGATGTTTTTCATGAACTTGTGTGATACAGTGACATTTCTCATTTTAGGTGAAAAACCATACAAATGTGAATTCTGTGACTATGCTGCAGCACAGAAGACATCTCTGCGGTATCACCTGGAGAGGCATCACAAGGACAAGCAGATCGATATTGCCGCCGAAGTCAAGACGGATGGGAAAAACCAGGAGACCGAAGATGCACTACTAGCCGCCGACGGTGCGCAAACCAAAAATTTGAAAAGATGTTTTGATGGTGCCAAAGATGTTAAAGGCAGCCCACCTTCAAAGCCACTTAAGGGGATGGCCTCTACCTTTCAGAATGTTCTGGGCAGCACTGTCCAATCACCAGTACACAGAGATACTCAGGATTTCAATAAAAATGCAACTGATGCCAGTACTGATAAAATGGGCAAAGCTCCTGCCCCCGCAGGTTTGGACGTGTTCCCGAAGAGAGCGCCAGGTGACCCTCAGCCCCCCGAGCCCGCACGTAGGCCAGAGGCGGGGGTCCCTGCGCGCGCGGACAGCAGTGCGGCCCACGGTGCTGACGGCGGCCCCAGGGAGGAGCAGGTGGGCACGGCGGCCGACGGCAAGCACAGGGCCAGCGGGGACTGTCAGGAGAAACCGCTGAACCTGTCCCTCGGGGCGCTTCACGGCTGCCCCGCCATTTCTCTGAGCAAGAGTTTAATCCCAGGGATCACCTGCCCATTTTGTACCTTCAAGACCTTTTATCCGGAGGTTTTGATGATGCACCAGAGACTGGAGCATAAATACAACCCCGACATCCACAAAAACTGCAGAAGCAAGTCGGTGCTGCGCAGCCGGCGCACCGGCTGCCCGCCCGCGCTGCTGGGGAAGGACGTGCCCCCGCTGGCCCACTTCCCCAAGCCCCGGGCCAGGCCCGCGCCGCCCGCCAAGGCCGCGCCCGCCGACCGCGACCGCGGGAAGCCGGGCCCCGCCGCGCCCGCCAGGCCCCCGCCGTCCCCGGGGCTCGACCCCAGCACTTTAGCGCCCAGCAACCTGAAGGCGCCGCGGGCGCCGCACCAGCACCAGCAGCCGCCGCCGCAGCTCGGGGGGGCTCAGGGGGCCGCCCGGCCAACGCAGGCCGAGCCCGCCAACCCGGAGAGGGGCCGGAGGCCCGAGGCCAAGCCCCGGGGGCCCGCCGCCGCCCCCGCCCCGCCCGGTGCCGCCAACGGCTGTGCGGAGCGCCCCTGGGCGCCGCGGGGCCGCGACCCCCCGAGCGGCCGCCCCGCAGAGCCCGGAGAGCCGCTGCCCAAGCGGCCGCGGCCCGACGCCGAGCCGCCGGCGCCCGCCTTCCGCCGGGCCTTCGAGCTGCCCAAGTACCACGTGGTGCGCGGCCTGCAGTCGCTGCTGCCGGCCGAGTGCGTGTGCCCGCCGCCCGCCGCGCTGCCGCCCAAGCCCCGCGCCGCGCCCGCGCCGCTCTTCGCCTGCGGGCCCGCCGCCGACGGTGAGGCCTGGGGGAGGGGTGGACAGACCCCGGGCCTGGGGGGCGGCGGGCGGCGGATCCTGGGGGCTGGCTTTCCGGTGTCCCCTGAGCCCTGTGCCTCCCTCACTGTCCAAGGCCGGCGTCCCGTGCACGTCCAGTCCGGGGTTGGTGCTGGGGCTGGGTCCCCGCTCCCCACGGCGCAGTCCTTCGGAGCCGGACCTCGGCTTCTGTCCCTTTGCCGTGTACGCGGCTGGCAGAGTTCCCGCTAGCGGGTGGCACCTCACAGTGAACACCCACCCCACACACCCCCGAGCTCGGGCCCTCCACCCAAGCAGGAACAGAAAGTATAAGAACCCCAGTGAACAGCAGTCTTTTGAACAGTTTTGATGCTAGGATTCTGGACTCATGCTGCCCAATTTTTAGCCTTCGTTAAACATTAAGTGCGTTTTAAAAGGGACGCCCTTTTCCCCAAATGGGTAAATTGTTAAAAGTCGTAGATTTACTTTGGAGTTCTCCCCGTGGAAATGTTTTCAAAACCCTGCTTCCTCCTGGCCGCGTTCCGTTAGAGGTGTGTGGTGCGTACCTGTGCATGTAGAGAGGTAGGTCAGAGTGTCCTGGAGACCTTGTTCCACTTGGCAAACTTGATTAAACCACTTCCTTTGTCGGATGGAAGTCCTGCTGGTTTGTGCAGCTCCAAAGAGAAATCCATTTGAAACCTCTCAGTTTGTATTAACTTCAAATTACGGGTTCTGTGTAGTGACAACACTCTTACCCAGGATAGCTGGATGCCATTTGATCTGGTATGGATAGCAAATTAAAGAAGTTTTTTTTTTCACACACTCTAGTGAATTTCATAAAAATTGTGATGAAATATTAATTTTTGCAGCCTTTTGATCAAAACTGTCTATCTTTCTCCCTATCAGCTCTTAAAATGGACAGGAGTCAAAACTTTGCCTTAACTTGAAGAGTCTGGGCTCTGTGTTGCAAGCAAAATCCTTTTTTATATTTTAAAGATTTTATTTTTAAGTAATCTCTGCACCCAGCGTGGTGCTGCTCAGACTCGTAGCCCCAAGATTGAGAGTGGCACACTCCACCAACTGAGCCAGCCAGGCACCCTGTAAAATCCTTTTTTAAAATCATTTTTTCTCCTTCCCCACAGTTTTGGCTTCTGATGCATATAAGTTTAAAATATTTTATGCTACCATTTTTTGGCTTTTTTTTTTTTTCTGTGCCTAAACCTTGGATCTTGACTTTTTAGTTCTTACTAAGGACACCATAGTACTTAGATCTATTTTAGCTTTAATGACTTGAAGTTTTGTACTAGCAAGTATCCTCAGGGCACTTAAAAACGTTTCAGTTGTAACTTTGCAGCATGCATGCAGCTGGTGTATTTTGATCCCATTACCAGTCAGGAATGGTGAAAATTGACCTCTGACAACCCACCTAACACCTTCCCGGTTGTTGAACTTAATTCTAAACATCTTTTCACATTTTTTTCTGAATAGGAAAAAGACCTGTGTCGTACCAACACTTGTCTAGCAGCATGCTACAAAAGAGAAACTATGAGAATTTTATTGGAAATGCACATTATCGACCAAATGACAAAAAAACTTGATTTCCTATTTTGTCTAAGAAAGGTGAGTGTATATGATGTATTGATTTTACTTAATTGGCGCCTGGGTGGCTCAGTCGTTAAGCGTCTGCCTTCGGCTCAGGTTATGATCCCAGGGTCCTGGGATCGAGTCCCACATCGGGCTCCCTGCTCAGTGGGGAGTTCGGTTCTCCCTCTCCCACTGCCCCTGCTTGTGTTCCCTCTCTCGCTCTGTCTCTCTCTGTCAAATAAAATCTTAAAAAGAAAATAAACCATCTAACTTATCCTGTAGAATATAAAGTAAAATTACTTTTATTTATTTATTTACAAGATTTATTTATTTTAGAGCACGAGAGCACAGCCGGGGGCGGGGGGGGGTGCGCAGAGGGAGAGGGAGAGAGGGCTCCATCTCAGGACTCTGAGATCACAACCTGATCTGAAACCGAGTCGGGATGCTTAACGGGCTGTACCACTCAGGCGCCCTTAATTTTAAAGTGTTTTAAAACTTTGAGTTCTCAGGGTCTGTGGATATTAGTGATGATGATAATAGTAATAATGGTAATAGCAACTGGAATTTACTACGCATTTATTTTGTGCTCTGCCTTGAAGTGTTTTATAATCATGACCTCACTTAAGCCTTCCCACAGCAGGGGGCATCAGGCCAGGGATTAGCAAACTGCCCTCCACCTGTTCTTGTTTCTAAAGTTTTCCTGGCACACAGCCATGTCCATTCCTTTCTGTATTGTTGATGGCTTCTTCTGTGCCACATTAGCAGTGCTGGGTAGTTGTCACAGGGAGTGCAGGGCCTGTAAAGCTGGAAATATTTACACTCTGGCCCTTTATAGAAAATGTTTGCTGACCCCTGGGTTAGGAGGCCCTGGGTGTGCTTTACAGATGAGGGTACCAAGTCTTGGAGTGTGTAACTTGCCCAGTGCTTAACTCTGGTTCTGTCCTAGGTCTGCAGGAACCAAAGCCTGTGACCTCCTCCCCCCCAGCCCTCCTATTAAAGAGCTTGTTCAAAGCCTCTGTGCATCCTAATCTGTGGGGTGAGGGGAGTGGGTCAGGAGCAAGTAGTTGCGTTTGGTCTTGGTGGTTCCCATGGCAGATGTATATAACTGTAGATACCCAGAAACTGCAGTATTGTCATAGTTGCACGCATAGTAATTTAGTTAATTCCAAGCTTGGCCAGTTACGTAAGAGTTACTCTAGGCCTCCTTTACCGATACATTGAATGAAAAGATTGGGGCTTATGGACAGATTTGCGTTCTCTCGCAGAAGCCCTGGTCCTGTCACGTGACCGCCATCTAGACTCCTGGTCCAGGGCAGGGTTTCTCCCTCCTGTTTTCAGGGGGACACGCGTGGGGCCCATCAGCCTCATGCGGGTCTGCACTCCTCTTTCCCCTCAGATAGTGAAAGTAGAATGAGAGTCAAGTGTTGTCACAGGAATGGGATTAAGTTCACTCTCCGTTAAAACAAAAACGAATAATGTATGGATTACAAGGAACAGATCCTTTGTCACCAATTTCCCGTACTCGATGGCACAGTCCGTCAGTGACAGCAAATGTGCACTGTCCCGTTGGCCAGGCCTGTCCTCTCTGTAACCTCTGAGCTTCTCTGCTTGTACTTCCCTCTGCCTGGAACATCTTTCCTGCATCTTGTACGTCAGATCGCCTCTCCCTGATGCTCCAGGACCAGCTCACACATCATTCCTGTAAAATGTTTGCCAGGAACTAGGGACTTCTCCATTGTGCTCCCTGTGCAGGTGTGATTCATCCCCCTCACCCTCCCCACCCCCCTTACCTGTGTGTCCAACTTCACTGTTAGCTGAGCTTGAGAGGACACTCCTGGGTTCCGTTGCCTACCTAGCCCACTGCTGGGAATATCACTGATCCAGCTTGTTAAATGTTGGCTGAGCAAATAGTGTTAGAAACTTTCAGTTTCTCGTCAGTGACAGTTGCCTTTGCCAGACTCCGTGTAACTGGTAGGAATTCTGAATCTCGGTAAAATCATCTTCACTAAATCACTGTTCAGTATATAGTGAGGTGTCTCTGAGGTGCCAGTGTGAAGAGTCCTAATATTTTCATGGCAACGTGTTTTTTTTAAGTAAAGATTTTATTTTTAAGTAACCTCTACACGTGCTCCACCCATTGAGCCAGCCAGGCGCCCCTTCGTTGCAACATTTGAGTTTAAGTGGAACTCATTGCAGTTCTAGATCTCCTTAGTTCTGTTGGTTGCACTTTTCTGTTACAGATTTTCTAAGCTGTTTTCAGTTTTATCTTCATGGCTTCTCAACCTTTGTTTCTGTAGGTCTTGATGGCTGTGTGTACTGTCCGTGAATGGAGTTCGTCCATCCTTTGAGAAAGCAGACGGTGGAAGCCCGTGAAATATAAGCTGTGACCGTGCCGTGCATGTAACACACCAGGAACACTACGGTTTTGTGACGTTGTTCTGTTAACTTTTGTACCAAATAGCAATAAAAACTATAGTTGCAACAGTTGGGTTGTACACAAATGGAGACTGGAAATCTCTATTTTGTCCCTGAATCATATTTTTTTTAGAATCGACCAAATAAGAAGAGTCTTTTGCCTACTTGAGCGCTGCTGGAAAGAAACCATCTGGGTTGGGGAGGGTGGGGTGGGGAGAAAGTCTATGATGCTTGCACCTCAGGTAACTCTGTACATAATTGTAAGTTCTAAACCTGCTTGTTTGGATACTGTGCGTTCCTCTTTTTCTCTAATGTAGCTCACCACTTTGAGCAGTTTCCTGCTATTTGTGCTCTTTCGTTTAAAATGTATGTTTTTTTTTTTTTTTAATTCTCAATGATTTGTATTATGTTAAATCCTCCTCAGTCTATTGTCTTAACAAAATTGTTAACGGAAGTATTGACCCTCTATGACTATGTGCTGCATGTACTGAGGTCAGCCATTCTGAGTTTGGTGCCCTTTTATTGCAAATTTCATTTTGTCAACCAAGGGAGTGTCCAGATCCGTGACCCCTTCCCGGAAACAGTGCTGTGGATTGTGGAGTTTTTAAGTGTGTGTGTTTACAGAAAGCATGTCCTCTGTGGAGCCACCACATGTCTGGTAAACATACCAAATCGTAGGTGGGATCCCTTGCATTTACTTTCTATCAAATTAAGCATTTTTGTTGGAAAATTCAGGTTGTTTGGCTCTCACTGAAATTAGTAGGTAAAAAAACAGAAATGCTGAATTATACATGTGAATGACACATATTGGAAGCAATTTTAAAAAGGACATGAACGTCTTTGGGTAAATTTTAGGTTTGTATCTGGAAGTCTTGGTGTGCCTGGCATTTGGGTTAACTGTGGACATTCTGAGTTAATTATAGACACATTGATTCTGAAGAAGGAACTGCAGGCTGAGCCTTCTGGTTATGGGGAAGATGTGATCTCTTCTCGACCTCCGTTGTCTTCCCATTTTTGGTTGTTTCGAGCAGCAGCGTTTTTCTCAGTGCATACGCAGGTTGGGTTTTAAAGAGAGGGTAGCCACCAGCTGGCTTACTAGGTGTTTTAAACTTTGGTTCCCTTGATAACGCTGTCCGTGGCTGAGTTTCTTCAGCAGTACATTGGTTTAGCAACCACAAAATATTTTATTAAGAAAACTGTTTCAAAAATAAATTTGCACTGTTAAGTTGTCCTGCCCTGCTCTTCTGCGTTAGAGCAGGAGTAAAGTCCTAAAAGAACCCTGATTTTTTGTTTTGTTTTCATTATGCAACATGAAGCGTACTTGACGGAAGTCTTAACTCCCGTGTGAAAGGGAGAGCTGATTAGAGACCCGTCTGCTGGTATTGCAATGAAGTGCTTTGTATCAGGAAAACGTACACTATTGACCTTGTTTCCTGTTCATAAGCTGAGCCATATGTACATAATCTAGATTTTTGTTTTCATAGTTTTGCACTTTTATAGCCTATTTTTGAAGATTAACACATTTTTGCAAGATGATTGACTTGATCTTTGCCTAATCCAATGAGTGTTGCAGAAAAGCTTGCTGTGACTATAAATGTAAATCTTAAAAAGGGGATACAAGATAATAGAGGGCTGAAATTTAAACCTGTATTTAAAAAAAAAAAAATCACCAAATCTATTTGAAAACAAGTCAATTCATGTCATGCTGAAATTTGGGGGGCTTTCAGATTTCTCCTTTCTTCACCACATTTCTGAATTTCTGAATGCATAAAAATGTCCTTTTTTTTCACAGCCCTTGTACTCCAAAAATTTTTTTTGTTTGTTTTTGTTTTTGGTCCATCAGTATTAACTATTGGGATACTACTGGTTTTGTATGTTTTTTTTTTCCTTTGAGACAACAGTACATATAATAGAGGTACAATCCGTTGGATTTTTGTTTATGTATTTATTTCATTCCAGTTTGATTTATTTTAATTGTTGATACTTGTCAAACAGTAGACATTACTTGTTTTATTTATGATATATTTCAGCTTAAAGTTATGTTATTATATGTGGATGTAAATATAGATTTGGTGTTTTGCAGTCTTGCGTTCTGGTCTTTATTGTGTCCCTGGTTTCTGTTTTTGTTTTATTTAACATTTCATAAGTACAATGTTAAGCCTACAGGGTAGAAGAGAGGTTAGTGTTCTGAATCCTCGATGCTCGCCAGCAGTATTTTGCCCCTCTTCTCCCCTGAGTACTTTAAAAGCAAATCTCAGACCCCCGTGATTTAGTTTTATTCGTAAAACACTTCAGTATGTATAAGGGCTTTCATAATTACATGCAGCTAAATGGAGAGTGATTCCTCATGACCAACCTCCATGACCACATTGCCTTGTCTTAAAAGTGGCTTCTCATTGTTGGTAAGTTGTGATCAGGGCCCAAACAAGATTCACTTAATTGGTTTAGAAGATTGTTTTGTTTCTGTTCTTTGTTTTTTAAGATTTATTTACTTTTAGAGAGAGAGAGCGGTGGGGGAGGGGCAGAGGGAGAGAATTTTAAGCAGACTCCACACTAAGTGGGGAGCCTGACATGGGACTCAATCCCACGACCCTGAGATCAGGACCTGAGCTGTCTGAAACCAAAAGTCAGACACTTCACCGACTGGGCCACCCAGGTGCCCCTAGAAGATCGTTTTTTTAAGTCGATTTTAATCTCCGTCCCTTTCCATACACACGTTTTATTTATTGAAGAGGCTGGGTAGTTGGTCCGGTAGAAGGAGTTTGCACATTCTTCTTCGGGTTTATTGTACATTTGTGGTTTTGTCTAACCAGCGTTCTCCAGTCGCTATGTCCTGTGAACAGGTGAATTCAATTGAGAGTTTTAAAGTAGATTTGAACTCGGTTTTGGGGAGGAGGGGTCTTTGTACTCCTAATCACATCGTCTCTGGACACCTGCAATACTTGGTCTTCCAACCTGTACTCAAGTTGGATCAGTGGGTTCAGATGTCAGACTGCCCAGCTGTAATAAAGTTCTCCATCAGCCTCTCTCCTTCGGGTTTTAGTGGGCATTTGATGAGCATTAAGAATCTTGCAAAAGGTGATTTAAAGTTCTGTCATTTCCTCTGTATTTAGTATTGGGCAGAAGACCTCACTCGTGGTTATTTGATTGCCCTGAAATGCAGCTTGAACAAGAAAGGATAGATAAAACTTGATTCTCTGCCTTGATTAACCAGCTTTGAGAATAAAATCTGGTGCCCAGTATCTTGTCTGGTCCTAGACGTGGCTGGTGAATGAACTTGAGAATTTTTTGTAGGAACTCTATACATTTGATGAGTTTAAGCAATTGCAGGCATTATTTTGATGCTTAGAGTCTCCTGTCTTTGGCCAGTGGGCTCCTTCAGGTTGGCTCTGTGTTTTGGGCAACAGTCTGAAGGCTTCTTAGCTTTTTGCCATAAGATGTTCTGAACTCATCCATTTCCTGACCAAGACCCAGAGAGTTAACTTCTCTGAGGATCCTGGGTTCCTTTTACGGGAAATGGTAATTACAAGTGGTGACTTGGGAATAAGGATGCTCATCAGTCCTGGTTTGCTTCAACCCCCGGGGCTGCTTAACCTAGAGAACAAGGATATACTTTTTTAAGAAAAAAAAAAAAAAACTTCAGGAGCGCCTGGGTGGCTCCATTGTTGGGCGTCTGCCTTCGGCTCAGGTCATGATCCCAGGGTCCTGGGATCCAGCCCCACATCGGGCTCCCTGCTCAGTGGGAAGCCTGCTTCTCCCTCTCCCCCTGCTTGTGTTCCCTCTCTCGCTGTGTCTCTCTGTCAAATAAATAAAATATTAAAAAAAAAAAAACTTCAATGAATTACAGTTTTTTTGTTTTAATTCGAACGTGGGGCTCAAACTCAACCCCGAGATCAGGAGTCACACGTTCTACCGACTGAGCCAGCCAGGCGCCCCTGTATTGCTGTTTCTAACTCAAAATAAGGTTTTTATTTCTTTGATTTTATATTTGATTCTCTGAAAACTTGGGTTCCTGATATCAACATAACTTGCTTTATCCTGCCAGTAGCAATTAAGTCATGATGCCAATATTACCAACATTCTAAGTGGAGATTTCAGATTTTTTAATAGTTCCTCTTGTTTATAACTGGTTTTCAACTTGTGGTCCTGGACTAGCAAAATCATCATCATTGGGAAATCGCTAGAAATGCAAACCATCAGGTTCACCTTAAAGCTGCTGAATCAGAAACTTGGGGAGTTGGGGTGGGGGGTGCGGAATCTAGAAGTCTCTGCTGGAGACTCTATACCAAGTAAATTCCACTCAAGGAATACAGCATGGGTTGGGGAGCCTGAAATTCCTCATCTGTAGATTTGTTTGTAAAAAGTTATATCAAAGAAGAAAAACAAATGACTTTTTTTTTTATTGCCCTTTACCCTTACTCACCCAGTGAGATTTCATCATCACTTTTGCACACACATCAAATGCCTGAATTCCCATGGCCGCCGTAGACGGTAACCCTCAGAATCACATTGCCAAGACACGACCGCCTTTCCTCCGCCCCGATTCTGGCTGGTGGATCTGGAGGAGGGCTGAGACCCGGCATGCCTACCAGGCACCCCACGAAATTCTTGGTTACTCCAGAGTGAGAAATTACCTTAAACTTCCCTAGATTTTTGATTTGGAATTCTAAATGACCTAAAATAGCTTCAAACTGGCAACTGTAATCTCATTACAATGATAATGAAAATGTCCTTGAATCAGGTGCCTGACAGGCATCCTCTTGGATTGTCAGCAGACTATGCCACCCTCATCCCCTCTGGGGAATTTTCCCTTTAACCCCCCAGCAGCCCCGGGTAGGGATTTTAGGAACAGATGGATCCTTGACACGTCAGGGCCCTAGGGTTCAGAGCTCAGTGTGCGGTGTCCGTTTGTCCCACAAACATTGTCCCACCCAGCCCTGCCCTGGAGCCCGGCTGTGTCTCAGGCCGCCACCAACGCCTGTGCATGGAATAAAACCCCAAATCCTTGCCATGGCTTGCTTGCAAGGCCTGATCCCTGGCCTCACGGATCCTTGTTCCCTCATTTTTTGTGGCAGCCACAGAGGCCTTGGTTCTTCTAGAAACTTCTGGGCACCTTTCTCTTCCTGCAGTGGTACTCTTGCTGTTTCAAGGCCTGGTTACACTTTTTTTTTATTTTTTTTTTTAAGATTTTATTTATTTATTTGACAGACACAGCGAGAGAGGGAACACAAGCAGGGGGAGCGGGAGAGGGAGAAGCAGGCTTCCCGCCGAGCAGGGAGCCCGATGCGGGGCTCGATCCCAGGACCCCGGGATCACGACCTGAAACGGAGGCAGACGCTCAGTGACTGAGCCCCCGGGCGCCAACCGTGGCCTGGTTACACTTTTATCCCGGGTAGTCTGCCCCCCACCCCGACTTCACCTAAGTGCTCATACATCACCTGCCCTGAAGCCTTTCCAGCCTCCCTACATCTGTATCTGGTATTATTTTTCCTCATAAAACTCAGTACCGCCTGCCATTATGGTGTGGACTTGCTTGCTGGTCTTGCCCACTTGAAGGTGGGCTCCCTGGGGGAAGAAATTTATTTTATCAATGTTTCCCGCGGGCATAGCCCAGAGTTTGGCTCTCCTTCAATATCTGTTGGTAGGATGGATGGACGGATGGATGGATGGACATACATGATTTATTCCAGCCTGGCAATTCTTTAAATGACAGAGAGATGGTCTCCTAGAATTATCTCAATAACCTCCTACCTATGAGATTATCTACTGAGTCACACTGCATGTAAGCGTTTCCATCTGCTTGTGGCAATAAACTGTAATACTCAACTCTTGTTAGTTTATTATCCCGTATATATCCTTAGACCAAGTGAAAGGAGTTTCACAGTCTGCTGCAAGGGTGGGCGGATATTTCAGAAGAATAAAAGGTAATGAGGATCAAGAGAGTTTTGGTCTGGAGTCTTTGAATAGTTTTCTGGGAGTGTGTGGGCAGAGTGGTGAGGATGGGCAGAGTAGATAATCAGATTATAGGAGACTGGAAGCCTGGAGACGAGTGTTATTCACATTTGAGACGTTTTACACGCTGACACGTCTCATACATAGAGAAAAACTGCCCGTGGTCCACCCCAACACAAGCACCATTCATCAGTGGAAAGGTTAACATAATGTGCTCGTTCTTAAAACTTGTGGCTTCAGAATCGTTTTACACTCTTAGAAATTATTCGGGGTCCTCAAAAGTTTTTGCTTCTGTGGCTCATGCTTATTGATATTTACCATAGTAGAGTTTAAAACAATGAAAACACTTAATAATTCAAGAGGAAAAATAATGAACCTGCTACATGTTAATATGAAGAACATATTTTTTTTTCCATCGTAAATAACAAAATTCCCAAAGCGAAAGAAATTTTATGAGAAGACTGGCAATGTTTCACCTTTTTGTAACTGTCTTTAGTGTCTTACTTCATAAAAGAGAGTGGGACAGTCATCTCTGCTGTTCGTTCATTCTTGTGTGACATTACACATCATGTGGCCTGTGGAAAGCAGGTAACTTTGTAGTATATTAGGTCTTTTTGACCCTGTGGACCCCCTGAGGGGGCTTGGGACCTCAGAGGTCCCTGGACTATTCTGTTAGAGCTTCTGGTATAGTGCAGTGATCGAGGGCTTGGTGCTTTAGCACCTCTATTTTCCTCCATTAAAAACCCAAATTTTGCACAAAAGGACAGATATGTATATGATTCCATCTATGTGAGGTTCTCAGAATAGTCCAATCCACAAAGACCGAAAGCAGAATGGCTGTTGCCTGGGGTGAGGGGCGGGGCAGGGGAGGAGGTGGAGGGTTTCATGGGGACAGAATTTCAGTTTGGGAAGATAAAAAGGTTCTGGAGGTGGACGGTGGTGATGGCTGAATAACAGTGTGATGGTACTTAACGCCCCTGAATTGTACACTTAAAAATGGTTAAAATGGCAAATTTTATGTTAAGCACACTTGACCACAATACAAAAAACATCTTAATTTTAAAATTATAAGCATAATACGTTTTTATAAAAAAGCAAGCCTCAGATAAATCTATAGTAAAGAATGTGAA